GAGAGAGAATTTTAATATCTATTTTTTAGTTTTCGGCGGACACAACATCTTTGTTGGTATGTGGTGCTGAGGATCGAACCTGGGCCGTACGCATGCCAGGCGAGCGCGCTACCGCTTGAGCCACATCCCCAGCCCTTGATTCTCCCTTTTTAAAATATAGAACAGATTATTCATGCAAAAATATGAGATACAAAATGATTTTTGTGTATTTTCAAGGAAAACAAAATTAAAGTCAGAGCAATGCAAACATTTGAAATGAAGTTCCTTACAAACAGGTATATCATTCTTTTAAAGGTCCTTTTAGGGAAAGGGGAAAGCTTTGTGGAAAATATTTCTTCATCCTCTCTGTGAAGACTATAGGGTGTAAGTGATAGAAACTCCAACTAGAATTAAATGTAGCAAAAAAGAAATTTATGGGCAAATGTATCAGTTTCCCATTAACCCCATAATGCTGTGAAAAAACTGACTACAAAACTTCAGTGTCATAGTAAGGAGCATTGATTTAGTCTGTGAATGTGCTCTACTCAGCTGATCTCATTGAGGCTTGCTTGTGCATCCGTGAGCAGCTGCTGGTTGTCTAGGCAGCTTTGCTGATCTTGGCAGGGTTTGCTCGCACATCTTGGGTTTGGTTGGCTGTTGGTTAGGACAGCTTGGCTGTTGTTTTAGTCAGCTTTCTCATCACTGTGACCAAGAGACTTGACAAGAACAACAGAGAAGAGAAAAAGTTTATTTAGGGCTCATGGTTTCAGAGGTCTCAGTCCATGGAAAGCTGTACTCCATAGCTCTGGGCTCAAGGAAGACAGAACATCATGTCCGAAGGATGTGGTGGAGGAAAGCAGCTCAGSACATGGCAACCAGGAAGCAGGGAGAACTCTGCTCACCAGGGACAAAATATAAAGCCCCAAAGGCACACCTCCAGTGACCCACCTCCTCCAACCATACCCTACCTGCCTATGGTTACCACTCAGTTAATCTAATCAGTAGATGCAGCCACTGACTCGGTTAAGCTCTCCTAACCCAATCATTTTACCTATGAACCTTCTTGCATTGTCTCACATATGAGCTTTTGGGGAACACCTCATCTAAACCATAACAGCTGTATTTTATGTTTCCCATCTTTCATTAGGGCATGTTCTTATTGTTATGGTAGAGGAAATGAACAAGAAAAAACACATAGTGCTACTTCAGGCCCCTGCTTGGTTCACCTATGTTATCATACGTATTGGCCCAAACATGTCACATGACTTGAATTAGAGTCAAATTAGGAGGGTACTGCTAAGAACATGGAAAAAAGGCTAAAGTGGAGTCATTAATTCTGTCAGTCTACCTGGCATGTATAACTAAAATGGCTTGAAGAGAGATGAAGCTTTAATGACTGCTGGATCTGGAGGATCAAATGATGTCATCTGGCTTGGTTTTACATCTTCAGAGTCTAGTGCTGTTTTATTTTGCACTAGCTTCACTCTCAGGGAGACCATGTCCATATGGAAGCACTTAGAGCTCYATCTTGAAAGCAAGTCATTCCAGCTGCGAAAAAGAACTTACCTTCCCTAGTTGTTCCAGCTGAAGTCATAGAATGGGGTCTTTTTGGACCAAGGGGCATCACATTTCCACCTCTAAGCTAGCTCCCTTGTCTGGAGTATGGAATATGTTGATTGCCCAAGTCACGTTCTCACCCCTGGCACCATCTAGGATGGAGTAGGACGAGTCAGCCATACCTAATCCTATGAACTATTAGTAAAGAGATGGAAACAACTTCTCTAAGGAAAATAGAGATAGAATTACTAGAAAGTATATGTAGAGAAGGGAGAAAAGATGAATGATAGGCAAGTCAAAATAAAAGATACCCCTTTTATTGCTTTTAATGTATTTATCTCATTGAACACTATCAATAAAAACGACTTATTTCCTACAATACCACAAGTTAGGTAGTATTACCTGCATTTTATTGATGGAGAGTAGAAGCTTATAACAGATAAATAATTTGCCTAAGTAACTCAACTAGTCCATGTTAGAGTGATTTCAACCTCAGTTTGTTCCTGTCCGGAATAGGTTCTTTTAATTGCCAYAAAGCTGAGGAACAGAAGGTCAAGGGTTGTATGTTTTCTCTTATATGTGGAAGCTAGAGAGGAAAAAGGAAAAGAAAGATGGGGGATTGTGGATCTTATGAAAATCAAAGGGGGATCAGTAGAGGAAAGGGGCAAAGGGTGAGAGGCCGGGAGGGAGGGGCAAGTGCTAGGGAGTGACATTGGTCAAATTATATTGTTATGTTGTATGCATGTATAAATATGTAACAATAAATCCCACCATTATGTACAACTATAATGCACCAATAAAAAATGTGGTAAAAAGGGTATTGGAAAAAAAAATAAACCTGAGGAAAAGAAATCATACTAAAAAAATTCCTTAAGAGGAATAACAGGAGGCTACAATGTACCCCATTAATGTCACTTGAGTCCTATTGAAGGAATAATCAGAACCCTGAAGTCCCAGCTAAATAAAGTCTGTGCTAACATAATTGACTCATTATGATAGGGAGCTTCTATTGCTTTTCTGTAGGGGTTATGTGACCAGAAACTCAAACATGGTATATACTTACTATTACCCTATTCTATTTTTGTACAGGTGGCAAGTGGTTACTGTGAAGATTAACTAGGTTAGCTCACATGGAAAAGAATTTTCAAACGACCAGCCTGGAAGGTGTATATGAAAGGGAAAAGAAAAGACTGTTTTCTCTGGTGATAGCATTGAGAATGTGAACTTACATTAGATGTCTCATTGGTTGAGCCACTTTTTAGAGATACCTAGTTCTAAGGTGGTCAGTAGGTTCCAATTCATGTGTTGATGCCAGTTGATTAGTGTTAAACCATCTAGAAGGTTGTGTAGAGATTTCTCAACCTAGTGGAAAAGAGGAATGTGATGAGTAGTGCTGTCTATAATGGGTATAGAAGGAGAAAGGATCAACATACTTGTCAAATTKGGACATCTTAGGAAGCAGCAGCTTCTTAGTCGTTGGGGTCATGCCCCTAAGGATGGATTATTTTGTTGCCAAGGTGTCCACGATGGCGGAATCCTTTGGTGAAATTTTTGGGAGGTCACAATTCTAACACCAGAAATCAAAATGGAGAGCTTCATTTTCCTAAGGAAAAAAAGAGTTTTGAGAACTTTTTCTTGTTTGGTGGCAGAGTGAGGGCAATTTACAAAAATGTTTCCATGTAGCAAGTAAGTTTTTGGGGTCATTTTTCTTTTTCAATAAATGTTACAGATGAGACTGTTGAGCTACCACCTTTCCTCATCATCACTTTTCTACCAGTATATTTAAAAATATAATGCCATTATAGTCTGAGTTCTAAAGAGGTTTGTTTTTAACTATTCTTTTTCTCACTTTGCAGATCTCTGATTGGAGTCATTTTCTGGTACAGACCGTGAAAAGAACGCAGTGAAAGTCCTGGTCAACAGTGGAAATACTGACTTAAACCCCAACTTAGTATAGCATTTCTTCTCTTCAGTAGCGCCTCATAATAGAAGAAAAATGTATGGAAGTGCAAGAACAATCACCAATCTGGAAGGCAGCCCTTCCAGATCACCTCGTCTGCCAAGGTCTCCTCGTTTGGGCCACAGAAGAACGAGTAGTGGGGGAGGGGGAGGAACAGGCAAGACCCTGTCTATGGAGAATATCCAGTCCCTTAATGCAGCCTATGCTACGTCTGGACCCATGTACCTGAGTGATCATGAGGGGGTGGCTTCCACAACATACCCAAAGGGCACCATGACTCTGGGCAGGGCCACTAATCGAGCTGTATATGGAGGCCGAGTCACAGCCATGGGGAGTAGTCCCAATATTGCTTCCGCAGGACTTTCCCACACAGATGTCCTTTCATATACTGATCAACATGGTGGCCTGAGTGGCTCATCCCATCACCACCACCACCAGGTCCCCTCCATGTTGAGGCAGGTAAGAGATAGCACAATGTTAGACCTTCAGGCCCAGCTCAAGGAACTCCAGAGAGAGAATGATCTCCTTCGGAAAGAGCTGGACATCAAGGACAGCAAGCTGGGATCTTCCATGAACAGCATCAAGACCTTCTGGAGTCCTGAGCTTAAGAAGGAAAGAGTCCTGAGGAAGGAAGAGGCAGCCCGGATGTCTGTCCTTAAGGAGCAGATGAGGGTTTCCCATGAAGAAAATCAGGTAGGTTTTGACTTACCTCAGTGTTTTTCAGCCTCAGTTTCTCACTGAGCAGTTGGTGTTTTGCAGATGGTTCCAGGACCTGTGCAGAAGAAAGTTTGGCATCATCAAGAAGCCTATAGCTTAATTTATATTAATAGGAAAGCAAAGGAAAAATGAGGTCAAGCTCATGATTTCCTTATTTTCCAGTAACCTTTTTCTGGGGGAGGATCCCTCCTCATTGCCTAACTTTTATACTTGGTTAATTTTGTTTTCTTTTTCAGCAGTTAACAACAGCAGTTCAGATGTACCTCCTTGTGAACAGAAGAGGAAAATATTAATCTCTGCCAGAATAAATACTTTACTGCAACATTTCCAGGGCTGTATTTGACTGATGATTTTTTGTTGTTGTTGTTAAAGCACCAGCAGCATCATTTCCTTCTAGAAGAAGTGGAATTTGATCTCTAATTAGCAAAATAAACAATATGAAATGGGATTGAGTTGAATGGGTTTGATACTATATTGGAGAAATGCAATACATTTTAACCTGTCTTTCTGCCTTTATCCATTCAGTATTAATTATCTACTATGTGCAAGATGTCTCCCTACTCTTTGATCCATCCTCCATGTCTTAAAAAGATTTGTTGGATTAGTTTCCCAGAGTCTACCTGTAGTTATGCCATTCCCTTCTTTAAAGCCTTTAGTGATTCCTCATGGTCTCTAGAACGATGCCTCCTTCCTTGACTCAGTCTGCAGGACCTTCTGGAAGCCTTATCTTGTATCACCTCCTTTAATTCCTGCATGTGCCTAAGGTTTCCCACCTCTGTGCTTTGGCTCTTGCCATTTCCTTCCTCTGGTGGCCTCCTTGGCACTGCTTATTGCCTTTTCTCTTTCAGTCCCAGAGAATCTCCGTTTTCAAATTCTACCTATAATTTGAGGTCAATTTTATATGCTACTCTTTTATAAGAGCTTTGGGGTCAGATGTAATGGATTTAAGCCCCAGCATCACCTCTTACGGATGGTGAGAGAAGGGCTAAGATGTGGGGAGTAGAGAGTGCTATGCCACTTGGTTCAACCATGTCCAGACATCATTTAAGATATCACTTAACTTCCTGTAGAAATTTGGGAGAACTCTGATTTGGCTGACCTAGTGATTCTCTGACAGGTTGGTTTCTATGTTCGCCTAATGAGGCACTTTGCCTTTTTTGGGGTCATCTGTGGACTCTCCTTTCTGTTTCCCTGGCTACCATTCCTTTGAGCCACGCACCTGTGGAAGTCCTTGTAACCTATTTGAAAATCTACCCTGTGTTCTCCTTCTGTGTGTAGAAAGCAGTGACCTGATCCCTTTGATTATCTGACAGAACATCACATCTCAGATGTGATTTTATTTTTTTAGTTGAAACCTAAATCTTTGTTCTTCACTTCTAAATTAAATGAATGCTCTTCACTACCACTTCTGCTGTTTCTGACTATGCCGGACTCCTTTTGGACCTGTTACTGTCATGTACGTTTCCTCTCTGTTCTGAATTGGTTATTATTCTTTAGTTGTTTTTTTGAAAGTGGTTTAGGATTGATGCACATAGTGACAAAAATGCTCCTTGGATGGAATGCAAAAGAGAAAAAGGAAGAAGCTGCTGTCCTTAATGACCTAAAGACCCTCATAAGGCCCCACCTCTTAAGGTTTCACCCCCTCTCAGCAGCACCACCTTGGGGACCAAGCCTTTAACACTTGACAATTTGGGGGACACTTATTCAGACCACAGGACTTTCATTTACCATAACTTACTATACTTTCCTTTTGGGGGGGGGAACCCCACACAGAAACTTTTTCTATAGGGAAGAATGGAAGAAACAACACAAAAGAGTTGAGGAACATCTGATTATGGTTTTTTTATGCACAACAACTGGAGACTGCATCTACAAATGTCATTCTTCTAGGGGTATTTAGATAATCAGAATTTCACTGACCCAAATTCAGATGACCAAAAATGTTTTGAACTGTATTATGTGAAGAGAAATGGGAGGCAGGCCTGTTACAGGGTGGAAGTGAGGAAACTCAGGTGCTCTTATATATGAAATTTGTAGTTCTGTCAATTTAATACTGACTAGCACAGACACTTTCCCCTAGGTGCAGTATTTAGAGGACTTTCACTCATCTGTTTCTTTGTAGTAGATTTTTGAAGTCCTCATGGTTCTGTCCAAAGGAGTGGAACCCAACTCCAGATCTCAGGGAGGATGTTGAATCTGTCCCTGTGTTATAGGAAGTGCAGGCCTATGTGGAACCTACCCTTTCCCTAAACCTCCCCTCCCCACCCCTCCTCCTCTCCAAGGCTCTACTTACCAGCCACACAGATCTGCTTGGATATAAATACGTTTGTTACTGCTACAGTTGCAGTGCTGAAATTTAAAATGGTTTGTATAAATTAGAGTGCATGGATGCAGTTATCTTTATGCTGTCACTTGTGTTTTTGCTTTATGATGCACTTTCTTGAGTTGGAGAAAAGCCGAACACAGTTGTATGGATAGCTTATTCTTTGGGATGACATGGACCCCCATTCCCAATTCTCAATGTCAAACCAGTAAACAGATCAGGGGAAAGGCAAGGTTAAAATTTTTTAAAAATTTTTATGAGTTCTAATCAGTTATACATGACAGCAGAAAGCTCTTTGATTCATTGTAGACAAACAGCAGAATTTTTCACTTCTCTGGTTGTACATGAAGTAGAGTCACACCATTCGTGCAATCGTACATGTACCTAGGGTAATGATGTCTGTCTCATTCCACCAACTTTCCTCCCACCATGCCCCCAAAGTTAAAATTTTGAGAATGAATGTTCTGCTGCTACTAGAAGTAACCCTATTATTATTATTATTATTGGCTTGGTACCAGGGATTGAGCCCAGAGGCACTTAACCACTGAGCCACATCTCCAGTCCTTTGTATTTTGAGACAGGGTCTTGTTAAGTCACTTAGGGCCTTGCTAAGTTGCTGAGACTGGTCTTGAACTTGAGTTGTTAAGTCACTTAGGGCTTGCCAAGTTGCTGGGATTATAGGCATGCACTGCCACACCTGGCCCCTTCTTATTTTTAATGGCCCATGGGATTGAAATACATGTTGTGGGGCTGGATAGGGGATATTTTGATGTGATGATAAGAAAGTAAAGTGACCCAGTTTTCTTCAAAAGAATAGAGGTTTTTGGGATGTAGCTCAGTGGTAGAGTGCTTGCCTAGCGTTATGTGAGGCACTGGGTTCAATCCTCACATTAACATAAATAAATAAAATAAAGGTATTGTGTCCATTTATAAGTAATTAATATATATTATAAGTAATTAATATATATTAATATATATATATATATTTCTTTATAGCTCCATGCTATTTACCAGTATAATGAAGATCAGACAGAGAAAACAAACTAGAGAATAAATTTCTAGAAAGTTCATAAGGGGTTGGGCATGGTGGTATGCACCTGTAGTCTCAGTGACTTGGGAGGCTGAGCAATGAATGTAGTGATATGCCATCTCAAAAACTAAACAAACAGAAAGTTCATAGGATTTGTATTGCATGTAGATTATTGACTTTTCATATTCTTGGATATTTTGTGCAACTATTAACTTTGTATTTTTTAATGGATTGTTTCCCTAAATTAGGTATACAATAAAGCAATTTTTAGACATTTTCCTAGGTTGTACGTGGCTAGCCAAGGCTCTGCATGATTATAAATAGCATCACACACTAGGAGATTGTGCTAGTTCTAATATTTACTCGTCTTGTGCAGAAGTGGGACAAGGTCATTGGGAAATGTAACCCAAGAAATGTAAGTAAACCTGTCTGGGGAATGTTACAGCCTTTAAGCACTAGTTATGTGATAATTTCTATTTCTGGCTTCACACAATAGGAAAGAACACACTCTAAATCAATATTAATATGAGCTTTAACTCAGTTTCAACATATGATGTATTCATTTGTATTTTGAAACTTGAAAAGGTCAAGAAGGATCACATTTTGGTGTTTCCTTCATTATTACTGTTTCTTTAATTTTTACAATAGCAGGGTCATTTCGACCGGAGTCTTCCAACTTTCTTCTAAAATACTCATTCTATTGTGAGTGCCCAGATATGAGGAATTGTATCAATTGGAAGCAAGTGATAGAATTTATCTTATCTCTTTGAGAAGGTGGTGAGATTTAACTGCCTTACAGTAAGTTGTCTATTGGCAAATAGGCGTAGCCACAGTCACTATGTGGAATTGAGGACGGAGCCCAGATGTGTTGGGTCCCATCAGGTTTGTGGGTGAGATGTAGATGTCGCTATGGTTTGGATGTGGTTTGTTCCCCAAAGGTCCATGGGCTGGAAGCTTGGTCCCTAACGTAACTGTTGAGAAGTGGAGGGCTTCTTAAGGGATAATTAGGTCATGTGGCTTCTACCCTCATGAATGGATTAATGTCTTTCTCAATAACTGGGTTAGGGCTTTTGGAAATGGATTCTCATAGAAGAGAATTGTATCCTGAGGGACCGGATTAATTACCATGAGATCAGGTTGTTACAAACCAAGTTTACCCCTGGGGTTTTGGTCTCTTCCACATGCATCCAATCATCATTCATGTRCATGTTTCTTTCATGTGATACCGTCTGTAATGGGGCCCTTACCAGAAGCTGAGAAGTTACTGGCATTAAACTCTTGGATCTTCAGAGTTATAAGGTAACTAAAACCTATTTTCTTTATAACATGAATAGTCTCCAGGATTTTCTTATAGCAACAGAAAATGGGCTAAGACAAATATACTCACTACTTTGATACACCTGACTTATCCCTATACCTTCTTCCAGGATCCTATCTTTGTACTATTAGTCTGAGAAACCATGAATCCCTCAAAGCCAATATTTTCAAAGTGCGTCCAAGAAGAGACCTTTTCCGAAGCAGATTTTCTTGTCAAATAAACTTAAGACACACATATTGGAAATGTTTCTTCTGCAAATTCATAATGCATATATTCTAGGTTGAATTGTATCCCTTCCTCAAAAA